CCGTCCAGGGAGCAATGGCAAACTACTGGACGTAAACTTGCCTAGAGAAACCACACAACAACCAGAGGCTGCTGCGGCTGGTTCTGCAACGTTCTGTAAAGAATACGCAACTACCCTACTGCCTATGCCGTCATGTGCTTCACATTGGCTGGCTGGTAGCCGACTTCGTCGCCAGTCGGTACAGTATTTACGTCTGTTAGGGTAATATAATCTTTGTCATCCCCTTGTGGGATACAATTTTTCGTTATTTAAAGCTCTAACCTGGCTTTTGCCAGGGGCCGCAGTATAACCTAACAGATTAACGTGGTTTCTGGGACCTCTCCACGGATGATCCCCATCTATATGGTGACACTTTGTGTCACCGGGTGTTTATCGCTTGTGTGATGTTCTGGTGGGGTAGAATTTACTGGACCGGGAGCCGAAACTAGATTTTACAAAACTTTCTTGTTTTTTGTGCCCTACTGCGGCCGAGCGGCTAGACGCTCGCATGCGGATAGGAAGGTCGTGGGTTCGCTCCCTCGCAGAGACGGACTGTTTTCAAAAAATGACCTCGGCTCCCAGGTCGACCCAGCTTTCAGTGGGTACCAGCTGCAGTCCCGAGAGGTAAAGGCGGCCAGTGTGATGCTGACCAAATAACCCACCTAGTGCCCATATGTCTGTACAAATATGGGTTTCTCTTCCCATACGCGCGATGCTCTGTGAGGCGTGAAAATGGATCTCTACTGTTTTTGTTGTTGTTGTTGTTTTTGTTGTTGTTGTATGTTACCATGCAGGGAATCAAACCTGTCAACTCAGGCTGACGACGACGCTTAGCTAAAGAAGCCAGTGTACTAACTCTCATGACCACTTGACGCCGCTTAAAAAAAAGCCATCTAAGTCATGTGTATCCTGCAGCTCGAATCCACAACTTCGGAAGACGGATATAATTTATCTCAAACCATTGAAATAGCACTACAGGTTACATTATATTACCTAAGCAAAGTTACGAAGCTTATTTTTTATGTCATTTTGCACTTTTGTAGTCTCATTTTATCCCTCTATCCATCTCTTCTTCTTTTTTCTTTGTGTCGGCTTTCTGCCTTGTAGCCAGCTGTTCTCGTGTCATACACACACTCTCAACAGGAACATATCTCGCGACACAATCTCCATTGCAATCTTCAGCTACTAGCTAACTGAGCACAGCGGGAAACATATCATGAGACGCACTGACGGACAAACAAAGTGGCGCTAAACTAGACCAGCAAGACTGACCCGAACATGCAGGGATAGTCAACATAACAGATCTAAACATGCAGACATGGACAACATAACAGATCTAAACATGCAGACATGGACGACATAACAGATCTAAACATGCAGACATGGACAACATAACAGATCTAAACATGCAGACATGGACAACATAACAGATCTAAACATGCAGACATGGACAACATAACAGATCTAAACATGCAGAAATGGACAACATAACAGATCTAAACATGCAGACATGGACAACATAACAGATCTAAACATGGACAACATAACAGATCTAAACATGCAGAAATGGACAACATAACAGATCTAAACATGCAGAAATGGTCAACTTAACAGATCTAAACATGCAGAAATGGTCAACATAACAGATCTAAACACGCAGAAATGGACAACATAACAGATCTAAACACGCAGAAATGGACAACATAACAGATCTATACATGCAGAAATGGACAACATAACAGATCTGAACATGCAGAAATGAACAACATAACAGATCTAAACATGTAGAAATGGACAACATAACAGATCGAAACATGTATAAATGGACAACATAACAGATCTAAACATGCAGAAATAGACAACATAACAGATCTAAACATGCAGAAATAGACAACATAACAGATCTAAAGATGCAGAAATGGACAACATAACAGACCTAAAAAGGCAGTGTTGAACAACATAACACACAACTAGGGACACTAAACAATGAGCCAGATCAGAACAAGCGCAGTCGCGGCTGATTAAGTTTGGCCAATTAACACCAGACCACATTTACAATCAAACCTGTTCTCGACAGGTTGTACACTCTCTCAGACTGTTGTTTGTTAATTTATTTATGTTGTCTTTCCACTTGTGTCGTTGTCTACATCTTGCTTTCGTGTCCTATTCCTCCATAATGGTTTATGTAAGAATGTTAAGTCCTAATTATGGCTAAAATGTTTCAGTCATAGAAGAAAGAAGTGTCTGATTGGAGTCCATCTTCGATATTGTAAATATTGAACATGATGGAACAATCGGGAGGAATCGACTGTGACTACGGTGTGACATCAAAGACACAATATGATGATGAGATGATAATAATGAGAAGGAGGAGGAGGAGAATGACTACGACGATAATGATAATGAATAGAAAATTTATCTGTGTTTCCCTTACATAATGTTGTTGAATCAACACAAGTAAATTATTTTTTTTTCCACCTAAATCTTCAACATTTTGGTGGCATTAGTGAATTTTAAGCTCCGTAAGTGTTCAGGAGAGAAGGCCTCTTAAGCTTTTAGCCCTCCGACCTCGCCAGCCGCGTTGCGGACACCGCCGGTGAGTGGATAGGGATGAAGTGGCTGCTTCATGGTGCTGATCTTCCTTGGACTCAGACTTAAGTCAAATGAAGAACCGAGCACTTATGGGTTACCACCCATGTGCCATGATGTTGATCCGTTGTTCAAACCCCAAACAAGCTCAGTAATTTGCCATTGCCCCTGAAAGGTCAGTGCTCTATACCATTTTCAAAATCAACTGAAAGCTAACTGTTGTCAACTGGCCTGCACCCGACTTGATTTGTCAGAATTACGAAGCGTGTTCACAACGCTCACCAGTCAATGCTAAGAAGACTGGGAAACCTAATGTATATGGGATTGTGGAGCGACGTAGCGTGACAAGCACACGTACAATTCCAAGACTTGGTGGCGCCATGCTGAGCGCCCAAAAACTTTAATAAGAGACTGATGCACTTTTAAATATTGGAATTTTTTAAAGAGATTGCTGCAACTCAAATCTCAGGAGATTCGTTATTTGTTATTATAGTTAAGAGAAACGATGTTAATACCCACGAACGAAAAAGCCACTGTCTCTCTTGGCAGAGATAGTAAAGTGTGAATCATAATTAAGTCATTAGAAATATAGTTTGTATGCTCGTCTGAAATATTATTCAAACCAGAAAAGAACTTCTGCAATAATTGTGTTAAAAGGTTTTTTTTTCTTTCTTTCTTTTAACAGGTGGTAATTACTGTCACTGACCAATTATTCGTGTCGCTTTTTGTGTGTTAGTTTTCTTCTTTGTTAACGGACTATAAGCTCCGGCTGAAGGTTTTTATTTGTTCGTCCATTAATTTCGGATTTTTGCCATTGATTTATTGATTTGATTCAAGAACCGACATCGCAGCACTCGATGCATTCCCATAAGCGCTCCGTCCCTATCTTCAGCAGCCAGCGAAGAGTTCCGATACTAATGGTGCTAGTAGCTTTCTGAATAAACGTCCGTCTTGCTTTTCCTCTGAGCCTCGAGCATCTACCAGAACCGCTCGTCACTTCCCCCTGCATCAATCTCACCCGACTGTGGTGATCCATCTGCTCCTCTGCATTGTACACATTCTCCCACAAGGCACTAACCACGTCTGCCTTATCATGTATCAGTATTCCACCAAGTTGTACAGAGCCTGTTCATTTCCCAATAGGATTTTTGCCAGGGCCTGCGTTTTGCATGTACATCCGTTTTATCGGCTAATGTGTGTCAAAGAAAGTTCCCATTTAGAAGACACCTGCTACGTGCTTGCTGGGAAGGGCAGTGTGTCTGTTCTTGTTTTCCCTACAATTGGGCCCCAGAAACTACAAGAGAAATTGTTAATGTTGAAATTCTCCTTCATCATTATCATAATTATCGTCATCATCATCAACATCATCATCTTCATCATGTTTCAGACAGTAAAAGACAAATCAGGTGTTAAATGACATATATTTTGTTAAAAGACTTAAACGTTGCCAACAGATAAATAAGATATTTTGTGACATACCAGATACTTAATAACATATCAGATACTTAATGACATATCAGATACTTAATGACATATCTGATACCTAACGAAATATCAGATACTTAATGCCCATATCAGATACTTAATGAAATATCGGATACTTAATGACATATCAGATACCTAATGAAATATCAGATACTTAATGACATATCAGATACTTAATGAAATATCAGATACTTAATGACATATTAGATACTTAATGACATATCACATACCTAATGAAATATCAGAATCCTAATGACATATCAGATACGTAATGATATATTAGATATTTAATGACATATCATATACTTAATAACACATACTATACCTAATTACATATAAGATACTTAATAAGGTATCATATATTAGTAATATATTTGATACTTAATGACGTATAAGATACCTAATGACATATCGGACAATGACATATAAAATGCCTTATGACATATCAGACGTTAAAATTCGTACCAGACACTAACTGATATTCAAGCGATGAAGAACGTATCAGACGCTGCAGGACATAGCAATCGCTAAAAAAACATATCAAACACTGCAGGACATAGCAATCGTTAAAAAAAACATATCAAACTCTGCAGGACATAGCAATCGTTAAAAAATTCATATTAAACGCTGCAGGATACAGCAGTCGTTAAAAAAATGTATTTCAGACGCTGCAGGACATAGCTATCGCAAAAAACATATCAGACGCTGCAGGACATAGCAATCGCTATAAAACACATCAAACGTTGCAGGATATAGCAATCACGAAAGGACATATCAGAAGTTGTGTGAAAAAAATGTATACTCTAAAAAGCACCTCAGACGCTAAAGGATATACTGGACGCTAGAGTGTAGTCGCTGAAAGACATATAACACGCTAAAGAGTATTTCAGACACAGAAGAATATACTGAACAAATTGTAAAACTATGTTTTCATTTTCTCTTTGCAGAATTCAAATTTTGCCGGAAATAGCACGTGGCTACATGCATTTTCAGCCAACCAATCATCGAATGTCATTCCAGAACTCTCTAACACATCAGACCAATCAGGATTCAGCAATCATAGTTCTCAACCAGTCAGCAACCAGAACGCGGATTGGGCGTATTATGCGTGGTTATATTTGAGAGTGTATGAATTGTATGTCAGCAGCGCCTTCTTCTACTTCCTGCCTTATACGCTTATTCTCATCCTCAACATGCAGCTGCTGTTGGCGATAAAGAAAAGAAGAAAAGAAACGAGACGAATCAGCGTGAAGAATGAACATCAGGTATGTTTCCGGTCCCGATGAGACATGACCACGTGTTCTTCCGCCATTTTGTTTAAAGGAGAAAAATATTTGTTTAAAGGAGAAAAATATCTTCAGTTAGTTTCTCCCATGGTCGACTGTATTTATAGGCCAACTAGGTCAACAGGGATTCCCGTACTTGTTCAAGTCGAGAGGCTGATCTTTGTTCACAATTTTTATTGAGGAGATTATAGAGAAGACGGTTGTTTCTCTAAATTAGGACGTTCTCTACCTTTGATCATCCGCACCTGCGACCACAATACAAATAAATAATTAAACAAACACAGAGATAACTAAATAAAGATAAAAACATTAGTAGGTTCAAAAAAGTTTCCCGATTACATATTATGTTTCCCCATTATGCACTATACTGAGGTTGATTTTTAATTTGTATGTACAATTTGTTTAACTTTTTTGAAAAATAATAGTGATGAAAAATATCAATTCGACTTACGAATAGTTTGATTTACTTTACGTACTGTTCGGAACGGACCTTGGTCATAAGAAGAAGAGAGTTTGTTTTTACATGAAACATGACATCCAATATTCTGCCAACTTCTTCAGACTGTTGACCACACTGAGGGGTGCGGGGTCGGAGGGGGGATACGAGCCCTAATCTCTCATTGTTCATTTTTTATTTAGATTATCTTCATCGTAGATGAGACATGACCACAAGTGTTCCGATCTCCTAATGAGTATTCTGCTAGTCTTTTTATGCTAACAACTCCAATTCTGTTCTGGTTGATGTAACGACGGGTGGCACCCGCATGGTTTTCTTGTCCCACGGGAATTCAGTACAAGTGTTCCTGTAGTTGTCGCTTCTGTAGCTGTACTAGAAGCAAAGCTTAAAGGGAATGTTGTAAAGGAAGGGTGAAGACACTATGCAGGAAATTATAAAAATCAACTCCTTGAACCTGTCTCTACTCTAAGCCCACAAGAGCTCCAACAAGTATTGTCGTGGTTAGTGGGAGTAAATCCCACACTCAAGCTGCCTCAGTAACAAGAAAAAAAAAAAAGAAGAGACAAAGTTTGTTCGGTGTGATCTAAGACCAAAACGTTTTAGCCCTGACAGTATATGTTGTGTTTGAAGACTAATCAGCAATAACAGTAAAACTAGGCTCACTTATCACAACTCATAATCCGAATCAGATACTAATTTTCACATTAAACATCTGTTTATTTTACGAGCACTTAACACACGTGGCTCAAAAATAACAGTATACTAGCAACCCTCCATGTGCTCGACCTGACCATTTTCTACTCACTGACAAAGAAATATGACAATTAACGCATATATTCAGGGGGAAAAATACAGCACTGATGGCAATATACCGAAACATATTAACATGTACGTTAAGCTTCAACATACTACCAGATCAGTAAATCCCCCATAGCAACCTGCAGTCACACTATCTCCGATCGAGAATACACACTGTTATCTAGGTCTAACTCACACAGTTCGTATTGTTTTAATTGCAGGTAAACTACACTAAACCAACCGACCTTGAAGACGGTCTGACTTTGATCGTTCTTGGCATCACAGTGTGCTTCTTCTTCTGCTGCCTCACCCCAGCCATCTACAACGTGACGCAAATAGCCGAGGTGTCAAACACAGAACTGTCCCAACATCTACTGACCGCCAGTGACACCATGCTGTGTATCAACGCTAGTATGGACTTTTTCTTCTACTGTCTCCTGGGCAGGAAGTTCAGGAACATATTCCTTCATCTGTTCTGTCGGCGGCCGTATCTAAGGAGCACTTACAGTATGTCGAGTAGCCATTGCAAGGCTGGGCATAGTATAAGTGAGACGTTGTATCATTCGGTGTAGGGGTTAGCAATTAGGGGTGAGATGCTGTGGTAAGAGATTAAGGGTGGGGATCTGTGGGTGAAAGCTTGGTTTGAGTGATTGGCGGTGACAGAATGGAGGTGAGAGATTGGATTGAGTGATTGGTTGGGAGAGACTTGAGGTGAAAGATTGGTGCTAGTGATTAACGGCGAACGAATGAAGGTGAGAGATTGGTGTGAGTGATTGGCGGGGAGAGAATGGAGGTGAGAGATTGACGTGAGTGATTGGTGAGGAGAGAAGTAAGGTGATATATTGCGTGAATTACTGATGGTGAGAGAATGGAGTTGAGAGATTAATGTGAGTGATTGAAAATGAGACATTGGTGTGAGTGACTTGGCTGTGATTTAGTATTTGGAGTGACGGGTTTGGATGAGTGTTTGTAGTGGAGATATTAGAAGTGACTGGCCGGAGGGGAGTGACTGAAGATGAGTAGTGGGAGGTGGGTGATTTGAGGGTTAGTGACTTGGGGTCAATGATTGGTTGGAGTGATTATTGATAGTAAATGGGGATGAGTGACAAAGGTGATCGATAACAGTGAGTGATTGCTTTTATAGATATGACTGAAGTGACCTATTGAATAATTAGGGTTTAGTCATGTGACTAACTGGGGTAAGTTATCCAAATAAGTGTTTGAGGTTGTATGTATGTAGGTATGCCTGTATCATGTTTAAATTAAATGATATACAACATGCAGTTATTACAAACGTTCTTTATATAATTTGTAATAGTCCATTCCAATTATTAAACAGTGTCTTCTGCTAGTTAACAGACATGAGTTTGTAGTTGATTGACAGTCGTGATGTGTGCAGATTTATAACATCTTCTCCTTCTCTACGATCACACAGGTAAACTCCAGTAGAAAGTTCTGGCTGTTCATCTCTCTCTCTCTCTCTCTCTCTCTCTCTCTCTCTCTCTCTCTCTCTCTCTCTCTCTCTCTCTCTCTCTCTCTCTCTCTCTCTCTCTCTGGGACTTACGTTCTGTTCCAGAACTTGAGTTTAGCGTGTACATCCGTTTTACTGGCCTTATTTGTTGCAGTTGGTTGTTCCTTGCCGCTGGGGCAAATGAACTCCGACTTTGAAGAAAGTCTTCAATTAGTCGACTGCTTCTGTCACATGACAAGCCTGTCTAGTGTCTTTCATAGGGGTTCCCCTAGTAAACAAAAACACTCTGCAGTGACCTAATGATGATGGCTCGCACAGGTATATAAGCTACTCCCTTCAGGAGTGAGGCGATTCAAATTATATTTCCCACTCCAAAAATAACTATACCTCCTCACCACTTAGAACCCCCCCCCCCCCCCCCCCCCCCCCAACCCCACACCTACTAGAAAAGCAAACCTATCATAGCCAAAATATAACACGGTAATGAATCTTACCAAAGAACACCACAATCACACACACAATCTAATCTATAAGAACTGGAAACGTTTGGACACTGACAAAAATGAATCCAGAATAAAACTGCATCATCTAATAAGTACAGCAAAGGTAAAGACTATAAAAAGTAAATGAGGGCAGAGTACAAATCAAGGAAACTATTGAACTCATAACTGTACTCTTCCAGAAAGTCTCCTTGGTTGCCTATTACACCAGGTTTCATCACTGCAAGACCTTATTGTGACAATAGTAAAAGTGGGCACTAGTGTCTTGGGTGACTCCAGTTCCGGGGTATCCCTTGATAGTTATCTGGGAAGGACTTCATCCTCTCCACAATTCATAGGCTGGACTACGCTAGCAGCAGCCCTGGCAATGAGTTAGGCATCAGTTCTAAGGTTGCTGTCATACAGTAGGGTATTCAATGGACGGACATTTGAACCCAACCAGTAATACACTAGTCTCAGGCGGCAGAATATTTGATTCAAGTCATATAGTATTGCTTTCGGAAAACAGACATTTGAACTTGATTTCATTATTTAGTTGGATACTGAGCTCATGTTTTAAATGAGATTTCCATGTACGACTTCACACATGCCATAGGTATGGTCTGGCGAATGCCAAAGGATTTTGAACACTCCATCTTGGAAGCCACCAACCCCGACAACCTATATCAGTTTAGTTTATGCTTATATAGGTCATTTTTTGTAGTGCACGACAAAAACGTGCGGCAGGAGTCTTGCACGAGGATCTGTAAAACCAACACAGAGCCTGCTGACGCCCAGTGTGAGGTGCAAAGTATGTCCATGTACTAATCACTACGACCTTAACATTTCCTAACGCCTGTGGCTGAAATCACTGCGACATCTTGGCTGGCCTCGGGTTTAAGCTTCAATGGTCATCGTTAGGTCGTGTTTGACAACTACACACACACGAGTTAAGCTCTGTTCTGCTCACACATAGTTTACGAATTTAGGGTCTCAATGATCATAATTTGAATGCATAATACCCTCTCTCAGCTGTGCGATCAGCGAACTAGGAGATCTCCATCGGGCTACCTGAATTAGAAACCTCGTATTTGCTACAGGGAAGTCGCTGTAGTGCAGCAGCTAGATACTCCACGTTGGATCGGATGGTCGTGGGTTCGGTTCGTGACGAAGCCGAACTTTTTTGTGACCCTGGCTGCCAGTTCGACCCAGCCTTGAGTGGGTACCACGTGCAATCCTGGGAAGTAAATGCAGTCGGCGTGATGATGATCATATCACAAACGAAGCGGTGATTGGTCTATACAATTTAGATCTAGCCCTATATGGAAACTACGCCCCAAGGCGTGAAGACGGTCCTTTTCTTTACTGTTATTTTACATTTCCTCCAAGTAATGAAATACAGAAAGCAAGAAAAAAAAAGAAAGAAATAAGAAAGTCAGAAAGAAAGAAGGAAAGAAAGAAAGAAGGAAAGACTGCACTGAATTTCACACATTAAGGCAAACCTTTTGGCCAGAAAAAACTACAGTGGAACGTAAACTCTATGGACCACTGAATGAACTAACAAAGACAGTGAAATTTATACAAGAGACAAAATTGCTGATTTGGACAACTTATTTCAGGCGAACAAAACAAGAAGAAGAAGAAGAAGAAAAGAGAGAGAAACAAACAAACAAACAAACAAAAAGGACGAAAAGGAAGAAGAAAAAGAAGAAAAAGAAGAAAAAGAAGAAGAAGAAGAAGAAGAAGAAGAAGAAGAAAAAAGAAGGAGAAGAAGAAGAAAAGAAGAAGAAGAAGAAGGAAGAAGAAGAGGAAGAAGAAGATGAAGAAGAAGAAGAAAAAGAAGAAGAAGAAGAAGAAGAAGAAGAAGATAGAAGAAGAAGAAGAAGAAAGAAGAAGAAAGAAGAAGAAGAAGAAGAAGAAGAAGAAGAAGAAGAAGAAGAAGAAGAAGAAGAAGAAGAAGAAGAAGAAGAAGAAGAAGAAGAAGAAGAAGAAGAAGAAGAAGAAGAAGAAGAAGAAGAAGAAGAAGAAGAAGAAGAAGAAGAAGAAGAAGAAGAAGAAGAAGAAGAAGAACAAGAACAAGAACAAGAACAAGAACAAGAAGAAGAAGAAGAAGAAGAAGAAGAAGAGAAAATCGCATAGAAAAACCATCTAACAGCTTACAGACGTTCGTGTGTTTGCATCGCCCTTTGAAGGATACGCAACAAACTGACTTCAAAACTTGTTTTCACATTCTTGCATTCCACATTTCTCTCTCAACTTGTCCACCATTTCTTCCTGCCTGTCAGTAAAAGAGGCCCAACCTTTGTCTCTGTGTTTGTACAGAGAAAAGCCCAAACTTGCAGAATGTTAGGAAGTTAATGGATGTGGAGGCTGTCAGTTGTGTCGCTTTTAATGATACTCATTTTTGCAGATAGATGTTGAGATGTTGAGAGGAAGGAGGAGGATACAGAGAAAATGTGCGAGGGGGGCGTGGGAAGAGGGGGAAGGAGGGTAGGGGGGGGGGGAGGTATTCTGGTTCTTAAGTGCGTCAGCGTATTTATGTTAGTGAGATTTCATTTCTTTGTTATCAATATATTGTTGCTTGATGGTTTATTGTTGTTGTTGTTGTTGTTGTTTTGTTGTTGTTGTTGTTCTTCTTGTTCTTCCTCTTCTTCTTCTTCTTCTTCTTGTTCTTGTTCTTGTTCTTCTTGTTCTTGTTCTTCTTCTTCTTCTTCTTCTTCTTCTTCTTCTTCTTCTTCTTCTTCTTCTTCTTCTTCTTCTTCTTCTTCTTCTTCTTCTTCTTCTTCTTCTTCTTCTTCTTCTTCTTCTTCTTCTTCTTCTTCTTCTTCTTCTTCTTCTTCTTCTTCTTCTTCTTCTTCTTCTTCTTCTTGTTCTTCTTCTTCTTCTTCTTCTTCTTTTCTGCATTATCAACATCTTCTTCTTATTCCTCATCTTTTTCTTTTTCTTTTTCTTCTTCTTCTTCTTCTTCTTCTTCTTCTTCTTCTTCTTCTTCTTCTTCTTCTTCTTCTTCTTCTTCTTCTTCTTCTTCTTCTTCTTCTTCTTCTTCTTCTTCTTCTTCTTCTTCTTCTTCTTCCTTTTTCTTTTTCTTTTTCTTTTTCTTCTTTTTCTTCTTCTTCTTCTTCTTCTTCTTCTTCTTCTCTTCTTCTTCTTCTTCTTCTTCTTCTTCTTCTTCTTCTTCTTCTTCTTCTTCTTCTTCTTCTTCTTCTTCTTCTTCTTCTTCTTCTTCTTCTTCTTCTTCTTCTTCTTCTTCTTCTTCTTCTTCTTCTTCTTCTTCTTCGTCTTCTTCTTCTTCTTCTCCTTCTTCTTCTTCTTCTTCTTTTACATTTCATCTTCCTCTTCATGACCCTCTTCTGTGTTAGTTTTTTTGTTGTTTTTTTGTTTTTGTTTTAATCTTTATTTCTTTACTGACATTGTTAACATTTGACGTATATTTCACCCGCCCGAAAATGTTTACAACGAAATCTTAAGTTTCCCTTCTTTCTAGGAAATCCCAGACATCAGAAATTAACATTGGAATAAGTAGCGATGCAAGCAATTAAACAGACAGCTATTGAAAAGTGTTTAAATACACAACTCAGTCTTGCGTCCAAACAACAGAGGTAACATTTTTGCTGCGGGCCTAGGAAACGGGAAGACATGTCAAAGAGCGGCCATCATAGATATGCAAAGACATCGTGTGTTTCTGATATTTCTTTCATAGCAGTATTTATTAGTCATTCTACTAGTTATCATCATCATAACCAATACCAGTGTCACCATCGTCATCATCATTAGCTTCTTCAGCATCAGCATCGTCAACATTAGCATCATCAACATCAGCATCATCAACATTAGCATCATCAACATTAGCATCATCAACATTAGCATCATCAACATTAGCATCATCAACATCATCATCATCAACATCGTCATCATCAACATCATCATCAGCAACATTATCATCATCAACATCTTCATCAGCAACATCATCATCATCAACATCATCATCAGCAACATCATCATCATCAACATTAGTATCACCGTCACGGACACCAGCGTCGTCATATCATCATCCTCATCGTCTTAATTTGTTTCCCTTCTCTCCCCCTCCTCCCCACATCATCATCAGCATCATCTCATTATGATCATCGTAGTAGTCGTCATCCTTAGTCTTCGCGTTAACCAGACGTAAAATTCTGCTGAAATTCCTGGTTGTTTGTCCTGGTTCTGGACTGGGGTCATTTTTCATGGACTTGAATTTTGTGTTCCAATCCATTTTATGGTTCTGATTTATTTGTGTGCAGACTGTTGGTTTCTTTCCTTTCAAGCAGATGCACTCTGCATTAAAAAAAACACCCATTCTTAATCGCTTTTTATGACGTTCTCTTTAGGGAAGAGTTGGTCATTCTTCAAAGTTGGTCATTCTCTCCCTCCCTCCCCCTTCCCATAGGGAATTATAAATTATTATTATGCAATAAAGTCCCCATGGCGTTGGCCGCTAGACGCCCGCCTGCGAATCATAAGGTCTTGGGTTCGCGTCCTTACGGAGCCAGAATTTGCTTTGTGTTTTTAAAATTAAAAGACCTTGACTCCCAGGTCGACACAGCCTTGAGTGCAGTCATGGGAAGTAAAGGTGGCCGGCGTGACCACATCACCTACCAAGTGCCGATGTGACTCTAAAAATATAGGTCTAGAATAAAAGGAGCGGAAAAGGATTTTTTTTTAAATCAAGCATCTAAATAGTTGATATCCCAAAAACCAAGTGCAACCGTTAGGTTACATTAGGGCCCCTGATTGCAACTGGGGTGGGTCTTTAAAATAAAGAAACAATTTCCTCCCGTATCGGAAAAACAGTACTAGACTGACTGACTGACCTTTTACCCCACCAGGGCATTACACAAGCGATAAACACCCGGTGACACAAAGTGCCATCATGTGGATGAGGATCACCCGTGAAGAGGTCCCGGAAATCCCTTTCAGCCGTTAGGCCATATCTATTCCCTGGCTATATTCAGGGCCCCCGGCAGAAGCCAGGGTGGGGCTTCAAATAACGGAAAATTGTATCTCACATGGGGATGACTGAAAATATGTTTAAACAATTCTAGTAAGCAGATAAACCCAATTTGATTAAAAGTATTTTTAGGAAATTGGGACATAATTTTGCAAACGATGTAATTTTTCCGAGGTTAACAAACAAATAAAAAAAAAAAAAAAAATAATAGATGTCCCCAAAGAATTTAATTTCCGCTAAAAATGTTGAGAAAAAATTTAAACACACGTTGCACTTTGAGGGTTTCATGAACAAACAAACGAGGAGATATTCGCAAACAAATTGGAACATAGCTTGTTAGGTAGATCAGATGCAGAGATGCAGAGAACGGATAAATTACATCCTCTTGGTCACCCCCACCCCCCCCCCCCCCCCCCCCCCCCCCCCCCCCTAACCGCCCCGAGTGCATTTTCCTTAACAAAAACCTGAGTTCGTTTTGAATGTGAGCACTGATGCAGTCAGTCTGGGTATGGGAGCTAATTCACTTGTAATAGCATGCGAAGGCTACTCCTTATGAAACTTTGGGTGGGTGGGTAGGGGGGGGGGGTTACTCTGCAACACCCTCTGCGGTACTTTAATTTTAATTTACCCCAAACAAAACCTGGCAGCTATGATTAGTGCAACTATATCTAGGGTGGCACTAGTATTTAGCACGGGAAGTTCGGGGAAAAAAAAGGGGGAGGGGGTGCTTGGTCTCGAGGCATGGTGTCCGCCTCGAGTGCTAGAGTTTAGAGATTCAGTTCCCGGTAAGGGCTGGGATCTTTTTCACGTGGACTTCAACTGCTAGTAATTTTCCCTGGTCTCTGGGTAGTGAGATCAGACGCCCGTGTGCATTGTTGTGCACTTTAAAAACCACTTCGCAGTTGGGAATCGAAAAGAGTAGCCAAACGGCGCTGCCCCGGCAAAGTTGAAGTTACTAATCTACCTTAAAGTATTTCAGGATCCTCGCCGGTGCTACAGAGTCTGTGCACTGTGCTGAGCTTCTAAGGACTCCGGCTAGAGTTAGAAGGAAGAACGGAGCACTTATGGATTACTACCCGTGTGCCATGATGTTGATGCGTTGTTCAAACTTTAAGCACGGGTTAGCGTTAGTGTTTAGCGTTTAGGGCTTTTTCTTCTTCTTCTTCTTCTGGCTTTCTATCCCCCAATGGAGCATAGGCCCTCAACCAACTCACGCCAAGTCGTTCTATCCTTCGCCATTGCATGGAGCTCTCCCCATGTCCTCCCAATCTTTCTAACCTGGTTCTCCAGCTCTCTTCTCTATGTGTTTTTTGCCTTCCTTTATTTCTATGCCCCTGTGGGTTCCAATGCAAAGACATTCTAGTTATGCTGTTCTCCTGTTTTCTCAGTGTGTGCCCTATCCAACGCCAGCGTTTTTCCTCACTTCCTGATCCACTGGAGCCTGTTTAGTTCTCTCCCAAAGTTCTACATTAGTTATTCTATCATACCATTTTATTCCCTCTATTCTGAGCAGGCCCCAGTTATTGAATGTCTGTAATTTATTAGTAATTGCCTTGAATATAGGCCGTGAATCTTCTTCTTCTTCTTCTTTTTCTTCTTCTTCGAAATTTCATCTTTTACCGCTTCGATTGAGATGGGGATACAAGGTCCAGCCTCGTGCTCTTCTCGCTGCTTTGACCATGGACACATGGTGGTGCTGTAGAATTTCTCTGATATTATCTTCCCATATTTTTCTTGGTCTACCTCTTACCTCGTATGATGTAGCATCAGAAGGCATTCTCTCCCAGTGGACACCACTTGATGTGCTCTCTCCTTACGCAATTGAAATAAACAATGAAACATTTTCACGGGCATGGTCAGGGTGGGACGAATAACAATAAAATTGTATAACTATCATTGTATTTATTAATCCACAGCTTTGAGGAAGATTCCAATCTGGGTCCGCCGTAAAATAGGCCAGTATTCTTAACCGTACCGACAGCGCAGCTGGAGACCATACAGTAATCCCCCATCCCCTGCCCCCCTCTTTAAAAAACTCCCCACCCACAATTTTAAATTTCCCCAAACAACACCTCGGCTGTAGTCGGCGTCTCTGAAATAACCCAACAGATAAGCGGGGTTTCTAGGACTTGTTCTCGGAAGATCCTCATCCGAATAGTGGCACTTTGTGTCACCAGATGTTTATTGGTCAGTGTGATGTACTGATGAGGTTAAACGTCAATCAGTCACTGGGCAGTTTCAAATTTCCGTCGCCTTGTGATAGTGAATTTCTGGAAATCCCTTTTTAAAAATCTAGCAAGGGAGACAAATGTTTAAATACTAGTTGGCCCAGTCGAGGCGATTAGCGTTCCTTTTAAAAAAAAAATACATTTAAATAAACATGATTCATAGTACCAATTTTCGGGAAAGGGGTGGGGCGGGGGAGGAGTGGGGTGGGGAGGGAAGACAAGATCCACTGTCATTTGAAAATCTTGTCGTCAAATGCAACTAATTCGAAATATGCTGAAATCGGATAATTTGGGCCGAAAGGGGCAGATATTGCAGCATAGCTGTAGACAACAACACATGGGGCAAAACGCCATCTTGAGGGAGGACGCCAAAAAAGAAGAAGACGAAGAAGAAGAAGAAGAAGAAGAAGAAGAAGAAGAAGAAGAAGAAGAAGAAGAAGAAGAAGCAGCAGCAGCAGCAGCAGCAGCAGCAGCAGCAGCAGCAGCAGCAGCAGCAGCAGAAGAAGAAGAAGAAGAAGAAGAAGAAGAAGAAGAAGAGAAGAAGAAGAAGAAGAAGAAGAAGAAGAAGAAGAAGAAGAAGAAGAAGAAGAAGAAGAAGAAGAAGAAGAAGAAGAAGAAGAAGAAGAAGATGATGATGATAAAGAAGAAAAAGACAAAAAAGAAGATCATTGCAGCGTACCTTTCATGTGGAGAAGACACCTGAGTTATTGCTATTTAGAATGGCTTGTAAAATGTAAACAATTACTGGAAACAAGATCTTCTGTACATGGGTGGGAGGTGGCTCAAGTGATTCCCTCCCCTTAACCCGAGGGTCTCATTCTGCAAAAATTTGTGCACTTATACATTTTTGTGTCGGCTCTGTGGCTAAGTCGATGCGAACGCTTCGTAAGGCCGGGATACCGGGTTCGATACCAGCTGCGGGCCACGCGTCTTGCGTTGGTTTAGACAGTGGTATCAAGAAAGCCGACCGTTCAGGGCAATGGCAAACTACTGAACGTAAATTGTTAAGAGAAACCACAAAACAGCCAGGTGCTGTTAAGGTTGGTTCTGCAACGTCCTGTAAAGGATACGCAACTAACCTGATACATTTTTGTACAGTGAAACACGGGGAAGCGCTGATTGAATTGATGGATCGACAACACTAAAGACATTCTACGCCTTCATAGCATGACAATAGCCAGTGGCAGCCAGCGTGCACTGGATCGTAAATTATTCCTCCCCACGTCGCTCAACAGCAGAAGTGGTTTATGATGATGATGATGATAATGAGACACAGGGAAACAAAATAAAGGGAAAAAAAAAGGGGGGGGGGGGGGGTCACCTAGCTTCCATGGTTCGTGATAAGAGGCATGCTACACATTTAAAAAATCTCCACATACAACAATTACGATTGTTACATTTATGAGAATTCCACTGTTTAAATTTGAAAACACACGATTTATCCTTATCATACAAGGTGGCGTCGTGCGGAATACGTCACACAGGGAACAAACACACTAGATATGGCTTTTATCTAGGTCAGACACTGAAGCTTTGGAAAAAAGCATCACATGATTTGTGTACAGTTCACGTGACTCACGGAATATCATGCATACATATAAACAAACACGCTGACTGTAGTTCTCATCTGCCGTGCTTAAACTTTACGCACACCTGCGATATTTGTGTGGCTTTTGTTCATCTGATTCGACAATCTTTGGATTTAGAATAGTGCTGGGGATTTTCTGCTTATGAGTTGACATTCAGACGATTATACAAAATTATACGGTAAGCATACATGTAGATAAGTAATGTTTACAATGTAATGTATAATTCTAATTTCATGTTATACTGTAAGAAATATTTTCCTTTTATGTGGAACGTAAGAGTAGACATAGACAGACAGACAGAGGGGTAGACGGATGACAAGACTCACAGACAAGTAGATGGTGTGAAAAAATATTGGTACAAACAAGCTTGTCAAAATGCAGGCTGGGACAAGACAGTTAAACATATAGGCCTATGCATATATTTAGGGACAGACCAACAGACGACGGACAGAGGACGGACGGACAGACCGACTGACCGACAGACAGGTAGTAAGAGAGATGGATAGATAGTCAGATAGACAGACAGACAAACGTACAGACGAAAAAACAGACAGACAGACAGACAAACAGACAGATAGGATAGATAGATAGATAGATAGATAGATAGATAGATAGATAGATAGATAGATAGATAGATAGATAGATAGATAGATAGATAGATAGATAGATAGATAGATAGATAGATAGATAGATAGATAGATAGATAGATAGATAGATAGATAGACGGACGGACGGACGGACGGACGGACGGACGGACGGACGGACGGACGGACGGACGGACGGACGGACGGATGGACGGACGGACGGACGGACGGACGGATGGACGGATGGACGGATGGACGGATGGATGGATGGATGGATGGATGGATGGATAAGTGAATGGATGGACGGAAAGACGGATTTGCGGAGCGAGGGAACGATGGAGGTACAGCTAGATATAAAAGCAGACATACGGAAACAGACAGGGGAGTAAACGGACGGGGGGACATACGGATAGACAGACCAAATTAGGCGTGCGATAGAAACATAACACTGTTACAAAAAACCGCACGCCCCGACATTGTCATCTCAAGATAATAATTATGTTAAACACTCGACACACCGCCAATGGCCTGGCCGAGTACAGATTAACAAATAGTGGACTCAATTCAAGTGTGTTTATGTGTCATTGATAATGGCTGTTGATTCTGAAAGTGGCTAGACTATATAATTTAACACAGTCATTTATCTCTTTAATTTCTGGACTTCAGTTTAAAATCTTAAAAGTGTGACATAAATTACAATTTAACTGGATTCTGGATCTTCAATCGCCGATATATTTATACAGGTTTTATCCTCTCATGATAGAACGGGGGAAAGAAACACATATTGCAACTACTCCTCTTTGGTGCATGCCAAAAGTGTGGCGGCCATCTTTAAAGTGTAACTATTACTTCATTTTGTTGGACTGCACCATGTTGGCATGTGTTTCATACTCTTCCCATGTTAACAATAGTATCGGCAGACTATAATACGTTTGAGGTTTGAACAACGGATCAACATCATGGCACACGGGTAGTAACCCATAAGTGCTCCGTTCTTCTTCTAATTTAAGTTGTCCGAGGAAGCTTAGCACAGGCGAGGATCCTGATATACTTTAGGTAGATTTTTAAATTTTGCCCATTAGTGCTCAGTCTTATGTTTAGCGGCAAAAGAAGAGTTTCAATTTTGATGGTACAAGTAATCGTCTGACTTTATATCCGACTCATCCTTCCACTGACCCCTGAGTGTTGAGCGTCGGCCTGATCTCTTGGTAACTCCTTCCAGCGCCAGTCTCCTTAAATTGTAAGATCTGTCTACTCGTTCACAAAGGGTCCTCACAATATGTACCGTATCATACATCAGTTCATCACCAAGTGGTAGCCATCTATCTGCCTTCTCACTTCCCAACACACCGGCATCACCTTGAGAATCTATCCAAAGGATGCTATCTACTCAAGACCTCTGAAGAGTGTCTTATAGGAGAAACTACAAGAAAACTAGGATTTGCTGATGATATTGATATCGTTTGAGAAAATGAACTAGAGACTGTAAAAACACTGACTCTCTTGAAAGAAGCAGTCCCTAATGGGACTAGATATAAATCAAGATAAGACACAAAACATGATAATAACTAGTCAGGGAAAGGATTAAAAACTCTGGCCACATACAAGTCGATAAAAAAAAAATCAAACGAACGGAAACATATAAGTACTTGGGTGCAAACTTCAACTGCTCCTACATGATAAGAAAAGAAATACAATCTAGATTACAATCTGGAAAAAAGTATACTATGCCCTTGAACATCAGCTAAAATCTGAGTGTCTTGTCTCTCAACACCAAAATCAAAATATATAAAACGTTGATGAGACCGGTTGTCTTACATGGTTCTAAAACTTAGAACACAACAAAACGAGATGGAACCTCATTACAGGTTTTCGAAAACAGAGTCAACCGACCAGTCTTTGGATCCATTAAATATGCAGACAGAGCGGAATTGAGAGTGAGAAGCAACGACGTAATTTATAACCTGTTTAAATCACCACTGATCTCTGGCCTCACGAGAGCTAATAGAATAAAATGGCTTAAGCATATTGGGAGAATGTATACACAAGGGAGTTAAATGGTCGTAGACCACGAGGCAGACCAAGAAGACTGTGGAGAGATAACGTCCAGACAGACCTGTGAACACTTGGTGTCACCAACTGGAAAGAGAAGGCCAGCCAGAGAGATGAGTGGGGGCTGGTGATATATGTAGCAATGAACTTAAAGAGCTCGAACCCTGAAGAAGAAGAAGTATAAATGTTATATTTAATTTATGTGTCCTTGTTTGATAAATAATTGTATATTATCTAACGTATTAACTGTTTATATTTGATTGAAGGTGAAGTAACAAGGACCACTCGTTTCGTACACACTTCGTGCAGCAACCAACAGCTGAAACTATGGGAGCAGGCGAAGGTCTTGGAGAAGGATCTGGACGAGGCAAGCTTTGTCCAGGGATCATCTGGTCCTTTATCTGGCTCATCATCCTTATCTTCCTTGGCTGGCCCATCGGGTTCCTCATCGCCTGGCTCTACGTGCTGCTGATTCCCTTCAGCGCCTGCATTGATCCCATCAAGGGAGTCTGCGAGGCCATCCTGAAGCTTGTCCAACTGCCTCTGACCTGTGCCGAGGGGATCGTGAATATGAAGCCACTTTGTTAGGCTGAGATCATGACATCTGGTGCTCGCGGACAGAAAGGGGTGATAATTTAGGAACGTTGTATACAATTTATATTACCTGGCATGTTTCTCTGTTCTCTGTTTACAAGGCTTTTAGACTGTAGTGTAGTCGCAGAGGTTGACGTCCTTTGGATTTTCTCTCCAAGGTAATGTCGGTGATTTGGGAAATGAACAGCCAGACAGATTGGCTGGCTTTGCATATTTTCACTCCCACCCCCCCCCCCCCCCCACCATCCTTTTCCCATCAAAGGGTGGGAGTACCTCGCAGTGTCAGGGAAGGAAACCTGTCTGGAATGGGCCCATTCTGTTGGCTCTGTGAGAAAGGGGGTGTGGGGGTAAGGGCAAGTGTAAATATATAGCTCTAGTTAGTCTAGGGCACAATAGAACCCGTGTGTAGTATGATAATTATGCACTAATCCAGAAGAGAAAGAATCATAACTCTATATCCGCCTCGATGTCTGAAGAAGTACAAAATAAAACGAAGACGCTTTAAGAAGGATAAGAGTAAATTTATGGGCGTTATGATCTCCTTGCTTACGCAGCTTGAGGCTTTTGAACAATTAGAGTAATTTGTGGCAAGGTAACAATGAGATGTTACAAGAGATGTTAATATATAGTTAAATTATAGCACTAGGATATGTGTTGGCTAAGTTTAATGATAACAAATGGCTTCATTTTTTTTTTTTCATAATAAGAGAGTAAATCATGACGATATAATTATAGTATACAAATAGACAAGACTATATTGTGCGTATATCATCATCATCATGGGCCATGTCGAAAAGTGCAGGCTATGACATTTCACCACCTCACACGAACACCAGAATAACCGATCAGGTCAATGTTTGCTCAATTCGTATGGTTAAGTCATCCAGGTAGATATCTCTTTGACTTCCCCTTGCTATCTTTCTATCAATCTTTCCAGATGTTACTAAGTCCCCAAGTCCATTCCTTCTCGTAATATGTGTCAAAAGATACCGACTTTATTACGTCAGTTTTCTGATCTGTTTATCACTTTCATTTGTCTCGATTTATCACTTTGATTTGTCTCGATTTATCACTTTCATATGTCTCAATGTATCACTTTCTTTTGTCTCTTTTTATCACTTACATTTGTCTCGATTTGTCACTTTCATATTACTCGATTTATCACTTTCTTTTGTCTCTACTTATCACTTTCATTCGTCACGATTGGTCAGTTTCATTTGTCTCGATTTATCATTTTCATTTTCTCTATTTATCACTTTCACTTGTCTCAAATTAATAAATTTCATTTGTCTCAATTTGTCACTTTTATATGTCTCGATTTATCACTTTCATTTGTCTCGATTTGTCACTTTTATGTCTCGATTTATCACTTTCATTTGTCTCGATTTGTCACTTTCATTGTCTCGATTTATCACTTTCATTTGTTTCAATGAGTGGACTGCTTGGTCTCGAGGTATGGAGTCCGCCTCGAGTGCTAGAAGTTCCGGGTTAAATCTCCGGTAATTGCTGAAATTTTTTCACGTGGTCTTTGACTTCTAGTCATCATCCTCATCGTCATAAACCACCTCTGCCGTTAAGCGCCGTGGGGAGGAATAATTTGCAATCCAGTGCACGTTGGCTGCCACTGGCTGTTGTCATGCCGTGAAGGCGTAGAGTGTCTTTAATGCTGTCGATCCATAATTTTCGCAGTCGTCCTCTTGCTCTTGTAGCTGACCTTCTGAGATATAGTGCTTGTGATGGTATTTGATCTTGTTGCATTCTAACAAGATGGCCAAACCACTTGATCTGCTGTTTCTCGATGAATCTAGTACAATGTATCGTTTCCACAATTTGCCTGATAGTTTCTTTATTCACTCGATCTCGGATGGGGGTAGAACAAGCACTGATCGTCAGCAAATAGTAGTTTGTTTAATGTGGGTGAATCGATAACTTCTCCTGATGTGTGTACTTCGTCATGATTATAAAGGTCTATGTTGTCTGTATCAGAACTTGCTTCTTTAGATATTCTGTCTATATAAATGTTAAATAAAAGTAGTGAGAGCATACATCCCTGTCTCACACCTGTGTTGACTGTGAACATATCTGATATGCCTTCTTGTGTTCTTATTGCACTTTGGCTTGTGTGGTACATGGCTATGATGTTCTCTAGTAGTTGTCCTTGTACCCCGTAGTTCTCGTTTGACTTATAGAAATTCCTGTATGTTTAAGTTTTTTTCTATTTTATTTTTTTTAATTATTGTACTATCTCACACATGCATTTTCTCTTGTTATTACAAGTATTTGTTATTTATTTTGTTATATTGCTATTACTTTGCAACGGGGGAGCCGCTGTTGTGTAGCAGCTAGACGCACGCCTGCAGATACGAAAGTTGTGGGTTTAAATCCAGAGGGTGCTGAACTTTGTTCAGACATGACCTCCTCTTCCAGGTGGACCCAGCCTTAAATAGGTACCAGGTCAAAGTCATGGAAAGAAAAGGCGGCCAGCATGATACTGACCGCATCAGCCACCAAGTGCCGGTTGGTGTATAAAATATAAGCCTAGCCTTATATGCCCAAAACGTATCCTATGCAATAAATCATTTTCAATAAATATCAAAACTCCAGTAATGAAATGTTATGTCGAGCCTGTTCTGTTGTATTGCAATGAATCTTGGAATGTAAGCAAGCAAATTAAGAAGAGTTTGGAAGCAACTGAGATGTGGTTCTTGAGAATAATGTTGCGAATACCTTATACCGAATACCCCAATACCATGTTTCCCAGAATTTCTATTAGTACTTGCATCCTCCATGTACGGTTTGCACACATCTTTACATCGCAGTAGAGGCTTGCCTCGACAGATTCAGCACTACATCTCTAGCCCCACACCATCATCCTGACCTGTCGCTTATTTGTCGCTTATATCTCGCAGTCTATTACTCCATTCTTTTCTATCTTGTTCAATCCTTTCATTATCGATGATTGAATCCAGTCAAGTGCTTTTGAAATATTCGTACTTCAGACTCACAACTGAAGTCAGGGGATACAACTTTTAAAATCGTTTCTATGGTTGTTAAACGAGATAATTGTGTCCCTTGGTTCAACAATTATGACGACATTTTTCTACATATCTATATGTCTGTCTGTTTGTCTGCAGCATTCGTTTTAGCCCCCAGTGTTCCAAGAAATATATCTACAAAGAAAATCACATTATATTCGGTTAAACAGGTACGTTTATGCAGAAAATCACAGAAAGAATTGTCTCAGCATATTGCTTTTTATTTAACTAATTACAACCCAACATGGCATCACAAACAAGGGGATTTGAATACGGAATCTAGGACAGTCAAAGAAACATAAACTACAGAAAATAACGATGTGGAGGCGTACAATATAGATAATTATAAAGATATAAAGAAGATTAGGAGATGAAGATAAGGAGGACAGGAAGAAGTATTAGTTGAAGAGGAGGAGGAGAAGAAGGTGAAGAAGAAGGAGTAGGAGGAAAAGAAGAAGAGGAGGAGAAAGAAAAAGAAGAAGAAGAAGGAAAAGGGAAAAGAGAAGGAGGATCAGGAGGAGGAGGAGAAGAAAAAGAAGAAGAAGAAAGAGAAGAAGAAGAATAAGAAGAAGAAGAAGAAGAAGAAGAACAAGAACAAGAACAAGAACAAGAAGAAGAAGAAGAAAGAAGAAGAAGAAAAAGAAGAAGAAGAAGAAAAAAAAGAAGGAGAAGAAAAACCTCAAAAACAGCTACAATAACAACAAAAACAAGAGATTTCACATACTAATAATATTTCAATCAATCAGGTGCCGTCTCCACAATGAAGGTTGGCTGCAATGGATCTCCAACAAGCCCTGTCTCTTGCCCTTAATGTACACTCACTCATACTGCTGTTCGTCCATCTCTTGATGTTATCCTCCCACTTGTAATGCTGTCTGCCTTTTGCTCGCCTACCTTGAACCTTTTCCTCTAGGATGATCTTTACAATACTGTTATGTCTTTTAATGTAGCCAAAATATTTCACTTGTCTCTTATTTTTCACCTAGCAACTCTTTTTTCATTCCCAATTTCCTCAGTACCTCTGTATTTGATAGCTTTTGTTTCCATGAAATACGACCTAATCTTCTGTATATCCACATCTCCAAAGAATTGATACGATTTTCCAGTTGTTTGTTCATTTTCCATGTCTCTGTGCCATACAGTAAGGTTGCGAATACATAACATTTGACAATTCTCATTTTTAATGAATTGCTTATTTCTCTTGATGTCAGTAACTTTTGCATGTTGTTGAAAATGTTTTTGGCCATCCCTATTCTTTTCTTGACTTCTGTTTCACTTCTGCCGTCACATGTTATTACTTGTCCAAGATATAAGAAATGTTTAACTTGTTCCAATTTCACCCCGTTCACTGTGATATTCATTGTTAGCTGATTATTTTCTTTGCTAAATATCATGGTTTTTGTCTTTTTCAAATTTATATCTAATTCAAATTCTGCACTCCTTCTGTTTACTTGCTCCACTAGGTCTTGCAACTCATGCTCACTCTCTGCTAGCAACATATAATAACAATAATATTTAATGCAATAATAATAACAATAATGCAACAATAATATTTAAACGCCTTTAAACACGTCACTTCAGAAATGTTTGTATATATCTCCTTCTAAATGTACACGAATATTTGGTAACAGTAGCATTAGGGATAACAGCATCAACTGGAATAATAACCAATCACGGGGAAGTCAGTTAACAAGATAATGGGTAAAATCACAAAGAGTGAGAAATTGCTTCAGTTTTCCTGGAATTGGCAACAGTTGAATGTTACCAATAATTGACTTATCCCCTGATGACACGTTCATTGCAGACCTAATAGATACTCTACAGAATTCCGCCAACGACGGAGGGCTAGCTTCTCGCTCTCTGAGCCACTTGACCACTGCTTGTCTGTCCCTATGCAAACAGGAACCCATTCCTGAGAACCTCGTGAAAACCTTAGAGTACATGGAGATCTGTTTGGCGCAGTAGGTAACCTCGTCAGGGGTTGGAATGTAGCCTAGAAGGACTAGCAGTTTCACCAGCATTGGTTCGCTGCATCCGAAAGCGTCTTGAAGGAGTCCTCTCCCCCAACGGCCGAATTTGTCGATCCTGCAGCCGTTAAACAGAAGCAAGGATGCGATGAAACTGTGGTCACATGACATGGCAGCTGTCAGAGGCGTCCAATGGCCATCGCTTAAGGAAAGTGAACACCCGGCTTCGATCAGCATCTTCCAGATTGTTTCCAGGTTGGGGTAAGAACTGCTCTTAGAGGCGATTTTATAGTAGAAGAAAGCTGTAAGAAAAGGCGTCATATTATTTTGGGTTAAGGCGTCCAGATCAGCATTGTGGTTTATCAAGGCTCGTAGAATGTTATCGTTGCCTGTTCTGGCTGCTTCGTGCGTTGGGGTCCAGAGAAGACTATTTGAAGCGTTAACATCGGCTCCAAACTCACACATCAAGATAGCTACAGTTTCCAGGTTCATACGCACAGCCCGATGCAGTGCTGTATTCCCTGACCCATCCTTGATATTCACATCGCTCCCAAGCGTAACAAACAACGATGCAATGTCTTCTCTCCTACAGTTGCAAGCTACATGAAGAGCAGTCTGTCCTCGTGAATCAGGAACATTCAGTAATGACGGAACACCCATAGAAGTAATCGCAAAATTTGCAGAGTTGAGAATCCTATGGATTATTTTGACGTAGTTATATTCAGTTGCCCAGTGGAGGGCAGTTCGTCCATTTTCGTCAACGGCAAACCGACATCTTGGATCGTCGTGAAGAAACTGACTGACCAAGTCTTCTCGGTTGCTCTTTGTTGCTCTGATGATGCCCGGGACGAGAACATATGGCTCGATGTTTTCTGTTGGCGAGTTACCAGAGGAGAGACTCGGCGTCCCTTCGATGGTTGTTGGGTCTTTCATTGTGATGCTATCATCTCACTGTTGTTATTGGCTTATGGTGGTATCTGGCAATGGAACGAAAGAGACATTAAGCTCAATGAAAGCGTAAGGTAATGCAGAGTTAACACTTGTTTACGTCAGTACTGGTGTGTGTAGCGGAAACATGGAAAAACACTAAGGCTATTAATAATGAACTACAAACATTCTATACCTGGTGCCTGCGCAGAATAGAAGGAATTAATTGGTATGATAGAATCACTAATGTAGAGTTTTGTGAGAGACCTAAAGAGATGACGAAAAGACGCTGGCGTTGGATAGGACACACTTTGAGAAAACCTTAGAGCAATATAACTAGTATGTCTTTGATTTGGAATCCACAGGGGTATAGAAATAGAGGAAGACCCAAAAAACATGGAGAAGGGAGCTGGAGAATGAAGTTAAAAAGATGGAAAGGACATGGGGAGAGCTGCATGCGATAGCTAGGGATAGAACGACTTGGCGTGAGCTGGTTGACTGCCTATGCTCCACTGGGGTTAGAAAGGCAGACGAAGAGTGTTTATTTATTTATTTATCTATTTATTTATTTATTTATTTATTTATTTATTTATTTATGTCGGCGTCTGTGGCTTAGGCCTTGCGAAAGCGCTCCGTATTTCCGAGATGCTAATTTCGATCCCAGCTACAGGCGATTTAACAGCAGACCGATCTGCGTTGGTTTTGATAGCGGTATCGAGATCCGACGGTTCAAAGAGAGTAATGATAAACTACAGCCTGTCAAATCACAAACAGCCAAAGGTGTGATGATGTTGTTTCTGCGACATCCTGTCAGATATTCACAATTAAACATTTCTTTTCTAGTTACTGATTCATAAGAGTAACCAAGGTTTGAAGTCTGAGGTTTTGAACAATGGATCAACACCATAGCACACGGGTAGTTACCCAAAAGTGCTCCGTTCTTCTTCTAATTCAAGTCTGAGTCTGAAAAAGCTCAGCACAGTGCACAGGCTATGTAGCACAAGCGAGGATCCTGAAATACTTTGGATAGATTTTTAACTCTAAATTTTGCCTAAGCAGCGCCGTTAGGCAACTCTTTTTCTTTTCCAACTGCCAAGGGATTTTTTAAGTGCGCAACAATGCACACGGGCGTCCGATCTCACTACCCAGAGACAAGGGGGAAGTACTAGAAGTCCAAGTCCGTCTGAAAACATACTAGCCCTTACCGGGGATTGAACCCGGAATCTCTAGCACTCGATGCTGACACCATGCTTCGAGACCACCTAGCGGACAAAGGATATCCAGGCAAAATCCATGACCATAAACACACAATGAATGCATAAGGCGTTTGTTAATTATGATTACTGGAACTGCAGTTTGGCGTTGATGAAAGTAAGCAGTCAAGACAAGTCGACCGTACACACATAACATTAATGTATAAGGCAGTTAGCCACACATGCTAACTTGTCTCTCTGTTTGAACAGAATATATCTAGACGCTATGTTAATATTTTTTGACACAACTACACATACTTATCTATACTCGAAACATGATATTGTTGTGTTCAAAACGACAAAAATTTCGTAAACAAACAACACCCATGCTGTCATTACTTTTATATAGTTTGACGGGAAACTGCGATTCGCTTCGGTATATTCCGGGAAAAAAAAAGAATTATCCTGTTATTGTGAGGAAATTGCAATTCGTCTCGGCTATGTACGGGAAACTACGATTGGTCTCGGGTGCTCACGGAAAAGTACGAATCGCCTTTGTTGATTTAAAATATTATTTGGACCAGTGTTTCTCAAACTGTTTTCTGTGAGCTCAACATTTGGAATGGATATATTCTTTCAAAGGGGCCGGGACACACACACATACACCACACACACACACACACACACACACACACACACACACACACACACACACACACACAACAGGATTCGGAAGGGCGCCCTCCTACAAGTTTTCTAAGGAATCTTTTTTATTTAGGTGCGCGTCAAGTAGCATAAGCCATGTTTAAATGAGTAGTAATGACACATAATAATGTCCTTTGTAGCAAAAATAATATAATTTGAAATACTATAAACTGTAAAAGATTACAGGACATACTTCTTCTACTGGGTTTTATCCCATATATCTGGGTCACATTCCACAAAACACTAGCTGCCTGCACGAGCTCAATAGCTTCGACAACGATCCCAAATGAATCTCCGTAAAAACTGCTCTTGAAACGACTGACGACCTTCTTACAACTACACAAACTGTTTAAACACTTCGCCCTGGAGACCTATAGGACATGCATGAAGAAGTACTTACGAAGTCTATTCATGGCCAGGAGGACGGTTCGACTCGGTTTTATATGCTTCACCAGCAGCTGAACACCAAAGGGTTCTCTGCCCTGGTCTCTCCCTGAATCGGAAACAAATTAGGCCCCCCAAAAGTCCAATTCTTTTCCGGCAAATGAGAGTAGTTTTAACTGTGTTACGGCTATTGCCTGGCACAGCTTTTCCTGGCTAGTTTTCCTTTCCGATGTTCACACACGTGTCAGAGCTTCTACTGGCCAGTCAAACATGTCGATCTCTTCCGGAGACACTTCACTTAGGTGATCTTGCGTATTCTTGTTTGTAATCGTAAAATTATCTTTTCATATAATGTGATGATAAAGGCTTTATAGCCGCACCGTTCACTTGCCCTTTGCGACTGCGTTGTTGTTGTTGTTGTTATCGATCCAGCGGCGCATGAGCTTTCGCCCTTGGGCCCAATGCCATGTAGTGGAATTTGCATGTTTTCACAAGCTGTTCTTTTCCTCTGTACAAGGTGTTCCACTTGTCTGGTCTCGGAGGGAGTAGCGTTCTTCTTGTCTCACTGAGTTTCGGGCACTCAAAGAGATGGTGTTCAACAGTTTCGTATGGGTAGTTACATAGCTGGCACTCTGGGGAGTGTTGTGGCTGTATTCTGTTTAGGTGTCCATTGAGTGGAGTATGTTGCGTTCTAAGTCTGAAGATGGTGGCCTGGTCCCTTCTTGTTAGATGGTTAATGCTGTCATTAGGATCAGGGCCAGACATATGTTTGCGACTGCGTCAATGCTAAGCTGACTAGTTCTATTTTTCGTTTGCTACGATAACTTTTCACTGTTTCAACTGATAACGAATCCAGTAAAGCACCTTTGCCCTCTCTGATCAGCCTTAGTAGGAGACAATGCTGAATTTAGGCACGACTTAACTAAACTAGAGCTTAGGACCTCACAACACGTACGGGCCTCAAGAAATTCATTTTTTCACAACGCAGTTTTCTTTTTAATAGAACCTTTAAGGGGGTAACGTTTCATAATTTATATGATTTTTGCCGACAATTTTGTAATAACTTCGTTTAATAAAATACTAAACGACTATTAAATTATGTCATCAATATAGTTAGACGGTGTCTGTATTCGAAAGTTTTCAGAGATTATATGGTATAATTTTTAACAATAGGAGCCTCATGTAATGGGTACCAGAGTTAGGAACGTCGATGTAGCTACGGAGTTGCGTGCGGACGGCGACACAGGCAGAAAGTTTCTTAGCAGCTGTCTGTACTTGTGGCCGAGCACTTATGGTTTACTACTGTGTGAAATGACGCTGGTTCACATCTCTTTACCTTTACATGCATGGTGACTTAGGATTTGACATGGAAACATTCTTGTTGACTTGAGACTTGACCTGGAAACATTTTTGATGACCTGGGATTTGACCTGGAAACATTCATGGTGACTTGGGACTTGACGTGGAAACATTCTTGGTGACTTGGGACTTGACCTGGAAACATTCTTGGTAACTTGTGACTTGACCTGGAAACATTCTTGGTGACTTGGGACTTGACCTGGAAACATTCTTGGTGACTTGGGACTTGACCTGGAAACATTGTTGCTGACTTGTGACTTGTCCTGGAAACATTCTTGGTGACTTGTGACTTGACCTGGAAACATTCTTGGTGACTTGGGACTTGACGTGGAAACATTCTTGGTGACTTGGGACTTATCGTGGAAACATTCTTGGTGACTTGGGACTTGACCTGGAAACATTCTTGGTGACTTGGGACGTGACCTGGAAACATTCTTGGTGACTTGTGACGTGACCTGGAAACATTCTTGGTGACTTGGGACGTGACCTGGAAACATTTTTGGTGACTTGAATTCGAAGGCTAGGGACATAGTCGCCCAACCTCTACTACTACGTCGTCCAAATATCGAAAGAAACAAAAACACTCACGCGTGCGGACGACGCAAACTAGAAACTTAACAATCCATTGACATTTAACACAAGCCGCCAAATGTATGAAGGCTCACGTAATTTCGCCGCCGGAATTCTCACGTTTCACGGTTCAATTTTCTGCGCCATATTTTTGGCCGGAAATTGGACTTGTAGAGTCGCTTCTGAAATGGCAAGACGCGAATGTGGCTAGCTGTACATCCGCTTGATATCATCGTTATCGTCATCACCCTCAAGAGTGCCAGAACATGGGAGCACATGCAGCTCGAGTCCCTTTCTCTCTTTCAGAAAATATTTTAGGAGGCCAAGCCCGCACACTCCCCCCACCCCCCCCCCCTCTATTTCCCCCCCCCCTCGTAATTGGTCATGCGCCTTAGCACACTTTTTCCTGCAGTGAGGAGCTATCGTCATTTGGAAGCGCTAGGCCAGTTTCCTGGCATGGTAACTAGGTAACTACAGTTTTTGATTCCTTTTTAGATGTTGTCGAGTGTATTCTTGTATCCTTCTATTTCTTTCTATGAGTGCTAATCAGTTGATGTCTATTTAGGTAAACACGTATTTGTTTCTAACTTTTTCTTCTTCCTCTTTTTCTTCTTCTTCTAGTTTCTTCCCCAATGTACTATATGAGCTCAACCACCTCACACCATGTCGTTCTATCCATCGCTATCGCATGAAGCTTTAACCATGTCCTACCCAGTTTTTTAACATCTCTCTCCAGGTATCTACTCTATTTGTGGAGGGGGGGGGGGAGACGTCTTCCTTTATTTCTCTGTCCCT